CGTGCCCCCCCTTCCTCCTCTGCCTCCCCCTTCCTCTTTTCTTTTCCTGCTGCGGTTTTGCGCATTTTCTCCTCCTCCGCTTGCGCAGCCGGGCAGCCATTGGTTGGCGCTGCGCCGCTTGGCTCTGTTATTTTTCGAATCTCAATGCGGGGCTGCCCGGAGGAGGGGAGGGGAGGGAAGGCAGAGGGAGAAGCCGGCAGCTGCGGGGCCGGGCGGGGCGGAGCCGGCTCAGCTCCAGCGCAACCTCCCGCGCCGACTCGTGTGCGCTCGCTTCTCTTTGGCGCGAAGGGCTGGGCTTTGCAAAGGAGAGCCGGAGCCGCGCGTCCCGCTTGCCGCCAGTCTCTCCCCATGGAGCCGGCCGGCTCTCCCGCGCTCTCCCCGGAGCCCCGCCGCCAAGCCCGCAAACCCCGCACGCTGCCCGGCATCCCCTGCAGCCTCCCCACCGCCGCCCCCGCCGCTACGATGTCCCCGGTCACCCACTTGGCCCTCGACATGGACAACCTGGTCGGGCTGGGCAGGTAAAGGCAGGCGGCGGCGGGGGGGCCCGGACCGGGGAGGTTGGGGGGAGGTGGGTAGCAGGCCGACCCCCTCCTTCTCCTCTCTCTCTCTTTCTCCCCCTTCTTCCTTCTCTTTCTCCCTCCCTCCCTTTCTTTCTTCCCCCCCCTCTCTCTTCCTCTTCCTCCCTCTCTTCCCCTTCTCTTCCTTTATCTCACTCTTCCTTTCCCTCTCTCTTTCTCCCTCCTTCCCTCTCGTTCTTTCCCTCCCTCTCTCTTCCCCTTCTTCCTTCTCTTTCTCCTTCCCTTTCTTTCCCCCCTCCCTTTCTCTTCCTCCCTTTCTTCCCCCTCTCTTCCTTTCTCTCTTTCTTTCCCTCTGCCTCCCTCCTTCCCTCCCTCTCTCTTCCCCTTCCTCCTTCTCTTTCTCCCTCCCTTTCTTTCCTTCTTTCTCCCCCCCTCCCCCCTCTTCCTTTCTCTCCCTTTTTCTTTCCCTCCCTCTTTCTCCCTCTCCCTTCCCTTTCTCCCTCCATCCCTCCCTGTTTCTCCCCCTCCCTCCATTTCCCTTCTCCTCTCTTTCATTCTCTCTCTCTTCCTCCTCCTCTTCCTCCCTCTTTCCTTCTTTCCACCATGGCGGGTTGAGGGGGGGTGGGGGGAGAGGGAAAGAGAACCGCGGGTTGGGGGGGGGGGAGAGAACCGGGGCCGCGTGGCCAGGAGGGCGGACAAAAGCGGATCTCCCATCCAGCCACCCCCGCTCTCTTTGGCGGCAGGAATGTGGACGCGGGCTGGCCTGTCAGGCGGAGGGGGGAGGGGGGGAAGGAGGGAAGGGCAGGCCAGGCCCGGCCGTCCAGATGTGCAGAGGGGGGGGGGGGCCCCGGGGGGGGGGGGGGGGGGGAGGGACCTGCGGGGGGGGGGGGGGGGGGGGGGGGGGGGGGGGGGGGGTTTGCAGGCAGCGGTGGTGGTGGGAGAAATGCTTGGATTTTGGCCACCCCCAAACGGTGCTGCCAAGGTCAAGGGCACCTTTCCCTCCATGCTGGGGACCGAGGAGGGGGGAAAACACCCCCTACCAGCTCCGTCACCCCACTGGGCAGGCTGGAGGGGGTCCCTTTCCTACGGGGGTGGGGGTGGGGAACCACCTCCGGTTGGAGAAACATGGGGGGGGGGGGCAAACCCTTTCCCTAAGCAGACCTTGGGCATTTTAGGGCAAAAGTGAATCTCAGGAGCAGCAGGACATGGGTTGGGGGGGGGGGTCTTTTGCAATGGGAAGGAAAACCAGCCCCCCCCCAGCTTCTCTGCAGCTGGAAACGAGCCCCTCAGATAAGCTGAATTGGGGTATGGGGGTGGGGGTGGGGGCTCCCTTCGGCCTGGCTACCTCTGGCCTCCCGCCCTTTCCCCCATCAAGCAGCCTGACCCTTTGGGGTGGCTTGGTCTATAGATCTCCCTAGGGAGAGGGAGAAAGAGGGAGGGAAAGAAAAAGGGAGAGAAAGGAAGAGGGGCGGGGGGGGGGGGACAAAGAAGGAAAGAAAGGGAGGGAGAAAGAGGAGGAAGGGGAAGAGAGAGAAGGAGGGAAAGATAGATCTCCCTGTCCCCTTTTGTGGGAGCGTTCCCTCCCCTCCCCGAAGGCACGCACGCATGGGGAGCCAGGGCCCTGCAGGGAGGAAATGCTTCTGTGTGCAAGTGACTTTGAACAGCCCCTGGATGCTTGGGAACCCCAGTTCACATGGGGGGGGGGCTGGACTAGAAGACCTCCAAGGTCCCTTCTATTCTGGTGATTAAGAGGAATGATCTAGCTGGCCTAGGGTGAGATCCAAGAGAGCCTGGCAAATGGGCTTGCTTGCCTCTCCGTCGCAGCTCTGGGTCCCAGCCACTTCCTCTGGGAAAGCCAGGGGGTTGTTTGGGGGCCTACCCTCCTCTGATCCTATCCCTCCCCCTCCCCAAAATAAGATTCCTGCAGCTGGCAGAAAGTTGGGGAGGGGTGTGTGTGTGTGAGAGAGAGATTGGATTGTTGGAATGCCTGGCCTTTGCGTGGCTTTTTGAATTTATTCCACATGTTGGCAAATTCAGACTTTTCTTGTCCTGGCTGGAGGCAAATTTTTGTTTTCCAAGGAAAGTGGTTTTTAATGAAAGGACTAGGACTGGCATGTTTTTTTTTTTTGGGGGGGGGGGGGGGGGGGGGGTGTTTTTTTGGGGGGGGCCCCCCCCCCAAAGAGGCTGGTCTGAATTCTCCTCCCTCTTTTTCCCAACAGGCAACGGTTAGGCTCTTTTTAAAGGCTCTTTTTAAAGGCGGTTTTTTTTTAACCCTGACCCTTTTTTCTTCCTCCCCATTGAATGTCCAGTTTTTGGCAGGGCCTCCAATCTAACTCTTGCTTTTTTTCCCTTTTTTTTCTTCTTCCTTCCCCCTGGCCTTCTGCACAGAGCAGCTGCTCCTATTGTAATTCTCTGCATAATGCAAGGAGGAAGAGAGAGAGAGAGAGTTGAGCGTGAAAATGAGCAGGAGGAGGGTGCTTGCAACACGTGGCAGCGTAAAGAGAGGCCTTATAGGAAGGGAGGGGCTGGAAGGACCACCTTGGCTGACCAGGGAGCTTCAAGTGCCAAGCCTTTTTTTTTTCTGGAAAAGCATTGGAATCACCCACAAAGTCCCTTCTTTCTGCCCCTTGGCATGTTGGGCTAACCCAGCCAAGCCTGGTTAGCACAAGTAGCCATGATTAAACCTAAGCAAACCCTAGCCTAGCCTCTTCCCCCCCCCTGCTTTGCCTCAAGAGTTGAATAACAGAGTTAGAAGGGACCTTGGAGGTCTTCTAGTCGAACCCCAAGCAGGGGATCCTATACCATTTCAGACAAATGGCTATCCAGTCTCTTCTGGAAAAAAAAACTTCTAGTATTGATTGGAGCACCTGCAAATTTTGGAGGCAGTTAATTGATAAATCACTGTTAGGAAATTATTATGTTTATTAATAATTTTAAATAATTATGGTCTCACATGCACACACAATAATTATTGTCTCACACAGTCTCACATGCACACACACACACACACACAATAATTCTAAATAATAATTGTAATAATTATCCTTATTTCTAGGCTGATTCTCTCCTTGATCCCTTTTCATCCATTTGATCAAGAGAGATCAAAGCTAGAACTAAAGAGAGATTTCCTGGCTGTGAGAACAATTAACCCGTGGAACGCCTTGCCACTAGAAGTTGTGGGTGCTCCATCGCTGGAGGTTTTTAAGAAGAGATTGGACAGCCACTGGTCTGAAATGGTCTAGGGTGTCCTGCTTGGGCAGAGGGTTGGACTAGATGACCTCTGAGGCGGGTGTCCTGCTTGGGCAGAGGGTTGGACTAGATGACCTCTGAGGCTCCTTCCAACTCTGTGATTCCTTGGAAATGGCTCCTGGCAGGCTTGAATCGGAGACGGTGATCAAATCAGCTACCAGGGTTGTTTTCCAACCCACCTGGCTGGTGGTTAATCATTCCCTCCTCCCTGGTGACATTTTTGTTTCAGATAAACCAGGCCTAGCCTTTTTAAATGAGTCCATAACTAAAAAAAAAACAAAAAAAAACTGGGTGGGTACGGCTCAGGAAATGCAAATTTTATTTATTCAATGTGATAAATTTATGAAATTTGTCTTGTTCCGGCCAACCGACCAGGCCACCAATGCAGAACGAGACAATGACACAATTAGCAGCAACAACAACAACAAAAAAGCATTAGAACACTAGGCGCGAAAAGTTGAAAACATTCAGCTAAATCCATAATACAGGTTAGCCCAAAACTTTCTGTTGCTAAGCGAGACAGTTGTAAAGTGAATAACTGCAGGTTGTTCAGTTAGTAATCCGGTTGTTAATCTGGCTTCCCCGTTGACTTGGCTTGTCAAAAGTTTGTAAAAAAGAACAGAATGGAATGGAATAGAATAAATTGGAATGGAATATAGAATGGAACAGAACAGAACAGAACAGAATAGAATAGAATGAAAGACATGAGGATGACGAACTTGGAAGAACGGAAAGAGCCAGGAGAGGACCTCAGAAAAATTAAACATTTATTGCAAGTTTCTTGAAGGGAAGAAAGGAAAGGAATCTGGGCCAATTAACAGGTTGGGGGATGGTGGTCTAATCCCCCTTCCCCCTTTGCATTGCAGTGACTGGGACACCCCCAAAAGGAAAAAGAAGCTGGACCTAGACTTCAGAAAGGAGTGGTCGTCTCAGGACTCGGTCTCTTCGGAATCGACCGACTCAGGTGAGGTTTGAGAGGGGGGGGGGGGTGGATTTGAACCCACGCCCTTCCAAACCGGGTCTTCTGTATCTCGGAGGGCTACGCAGCTAGTCCTTGTCTTAACGGCTGGGTCTCTTGGCGACTTGACTGCAATGATCACAGTTGATCTCTAAAACTGTGATGGTGAACCTATGGCATGTGTGTGCAGAGGTGGCACGCGGAGCCCTCTCTTTGCACGAGCGCCATCACCGGCTGGTCTTCGTGGGCGCCGGAGCATTGGAAAATGGCTCAAAAAATGGCCAAAAATCCAGACCGTTTTCTGGGCCATTTTTCTGCCTTTTTTGGGCAAAAAACAACCCGAAAAACAGCCGAAAAAGGGCCTAAAACAGCCCCCAAACAGCCTGGAAAATGGCCTGAAGACCCTAAAACAGCTCCAAAAAACGGCCCAAAATGGCCTAAAACAGTCTCAAAATGCCCTGAAAACGACCTAAAACAGCCTGAAAAATGGCCTAAAAACAGCTTAAAAACCCACCCAAAAAACCGGCATGTGTGCACTGGCCAGCTTTGGGTTACCGGTGCTCCGGCGCACCCACATGGCATGTGCTTGCATGGCATTCCAGTTTGGGCACTCGGTGCCAAAAAGGTTCCTCATCATTGCTCTAAAACGGGGTCGCCAACCTTTTGGACCTCAGGGATCACCAAACTCATAATTTTAAATCCCACGGACCAGAGACTCTGGGAAAATCCCCCAAAAAATCTGCAGAAAAATTCCCCACCCCATTTTCCTCCCAATCAATCATTCTTTATTTGAGATCGCAGGATACCGTCTCCCGCTCCGTTCTCAGGGGGAGAGAGAGAGAGACTTTTGGCTTCATGCAAGGAAAGCAGCAGAAGTCGTTCTTTCTTTCCCCCAAACTCCGCCAGAAAGGAGTCTTTATGAGACTAGTGGCGCCGGCGCAGCCTCTTGGAGCAGGAGGCCTTGCAGGGTCCCAAAGACTCATTTCTGGCAGAGTTTGGGGGAGAGAAAGAAAGACTTCTGCTGCTTTCCTTGCGTGCAGCCAAAAGCAGGAGAAGAAAGAAGCGGAAAGAAGCAGCCCGGTGGCCAGGCAAGGCACATGGGGCGAGTGGAGCAAGTTCTGCCTTCTGCCCTTTCCCTCACTATCTCGTGTTCTTCGCAATGCAAGTGACACAAGCCTTGTGTTCCCACGAGCCATGTGGGCGGCGCAGCATTGTGTGCCCACGCAGCCTGGAATTATTGCTTTGGGGGTGACATTTCTCTCTGGACCATCAAAATTTTCTCACGGACCACCAGTGGTCCCTGGCCCACTGGTTGGCGACCGCTGCTGTAAAGGATACCCAAGTCCTGAGCAGATCAGTAACCCTCCCCTTACGTCGCATGAAGATACAGGTTGGGTGGGTGGGAGAAATGCATTTGGGCTTGCAAAAAGCTTTCCCCCAAAACAGTTTTTTTTGGCCTGCGTGACTTTCCTGGTCTGGTTTACCTTGGAAGGTCAGAGCGACAACGGTTGCTCTTCGGAGCTTTTTTGTGGCTGGGGAAAAGTCAACCAGCCAGAGTCTATCTGTGGAGATCAGCTGTTTATTCCAAGTTTTAAGTTGAAAGCCTATGGAGATTCTCAAGTCATCCAGGGTCAGGGTTTTCAAGAGGGAAACTGGACTTTGGGGTTTAAAGCAAGGGTGGGCAGCGATGGTGACCTTGACGAACCTGTGGACTTCAACTCCCAGAATTCCCCAGCCAGGCCTTGTCTTGGCTGGTCCGAAGGTCACAAAAGGTCACCTCATCACATACCTTCGGCCTGAGACCGGCTCAGGTCGATCCCCCCGTGCCTTTGCTAATTGAAGGTGAGCAACATTTTGAAGTTAAAGAGATCTTGGATTCTAGGAAACAAAGAGGTCGACTCCAATATTCAGTTGTCTGGAAACATTTTCCTCCTTCCTATTCCGAATGGGTGAATGAAAAGGATGTTTCGAGCTCCTAAGCTTATCAAGGCGTTTCGTACTAAATATCCTGATAAACCCTAAAATATAGTATTGTGGTGTTACCTGTATATTATTCTTTTATCTTCTATTCTTTCTCTTTTTTAAGACTGACGCCTCTCTTGCAGGGGGGCCGAATGTCAGCCTTCAAGATTTTCTTCCTTTGCTTTGCATCTTTCGGCTGTCATAAGTAACGGGGGAAGGAGGGGGGACATGGTTATGGGAAGCGATCTGGAGGTTTTTACAAAACAGAACTGTATAAGTTGTGGGGGGGAGTTTCTTGCTTAGGCTTCTATCCTATGCTATGCGCAGCTGTAACTCTTTATCAAAATATGTCAAGGTCAACAGACAGAGGCCTCATCACCACTTGGAGATGCCCACATGATGTTATATACAACTTTTTATTGGATGAACCAATTGAACTACTGTGGGTGGTGATCACATGACACTGCGACCGTCGTAAATACAAGCCAGTTGCCCAAGCATCTGAATAATGACTGTGGAGGCAATGCTGCAAGGGTGGGAAGTGTGCGGAAAAATAACCAGTCCTAAGTCGCTTTGTAACTTTGGACGGTCACTAAAGAAATCGTAAGTCGAGGGCTACCTGTAATCACCTTTTTCTGTCGTGCAGGTGTTGGCCCTGACTCTCCTATGGAGGCAGATGTGGAGATGTTTCCTGAGGATCTGTAAGTCAGCATGCTCTTCTGTGTAAAATGGGAATGGTGTGAGAACTGTGCCCATATAAGAATATCTATTTTTATCTTCTCTGCAAACGTGAGAGTGTTTGGGGACATGGGAGTTGAAGAATTCCTTTTATGTTTTACACATGTTTATTTTATTCCCAAAGTTAAAATGCAAAATGAAGAAGCAAAAAAAAAGAAAGAAAAAGAAAAAACCTCCAACCAACGTCTTTAAAATTTTAATTTTTTTTTTTAAAAAAATGTACAAAAGGAAAAAAAACAACAAAATTAAAACGGGGGTCAAACCTGAAAGGAATTTATCTGTTGTGGTCCAGGTCTCCAGATTTTCCTGTTTATTTTATTGAATGACTAAATGGAATTGCTGCATTAAAAGCCATTAAAACTGTAAGATAAAAAAATCCCTAAAATTATGAAAATGGATAAAAACAACCAAATGCTGGAAAGATAAACCTTGACTTACGATGGTAACAGAAACCGGAATTTTACGATAGTTTTGCCGTAAGTCGAGAGCCTCACCTGACCGACCCAATCTTACAACTTTTCATAAGCGAATCCCTGCAGCTGTTAAGTTAGTCACATCGTCGTTAAGTGAAGCTGGCTTCCCTGTTGGGTTGGCCTGTCAGAAGGTTGCAAAAGCAGATCATGCGACCCCGGGACAGTGCGACTATCATAAATATGAGTCAGTTGTCGAGCGCCTGAATTTTGCTTACGAGACCCTAGGGGTGTTGTAATGGCCGTAAGTGCGAAAAAAATGGTTGTAAGTCACATTTTTTTCAGTGCGCTCAATTTTGGTCCTAAAGCAAGGACTACCAGTTGTTAAGTTAGTCACGTGTTAAGTGAATCCGGCTTCCCCGTTGGCTTGGCTTGTTCGAAGGTCACAAGGGAGATCTTATGCGACCCCGGGACAATCTAACTGTCATAAATACGAGGCAGTTGCTGAGCGGCCGAATTTTGCTTCCGGGATACCGTCTCTAGCTCCGTTCTCAGGGAGAGAGAGAGAGACTTTTGGCTTCATGCAAGGAAAGCAGCAGAAGCCGCAGAAGTCTGTCTTTCTCTCCCCTAAACTCTGCCAGAAATGAGTCTGTGTGAGATTTGTCGCACCGGCGTAGCCTCTTGGAGCAGGAGGCCTTGCAGGGTCCCAGAGACTCATTTCTGGCAGAGTTTGGGGGAGAGAAAGAAAGACTTTTGCTGCTTTCCTTGCGTGCAGCCAAAAGCAGAAGAAGAAAGAAGCGGAAAGAAGCAGCCCGGTGGCCAGGCCAGGCGAATAGGGTTAATGGGGCAAGTTCCCCCCCTCCGACCTTTCCCCCTACCTCGTGTTGTTTGCAATGCTAGCGACCAAACTTTGTGTTCCCACAGGCCATGTGGGTGGTGCAGCCTTGTGTTCCTGTGCAGCCTGGATTAATTGTTTTGGGGGTGACATTTCTCTGCGGACCACCAAAATTTTCTTAAATGACTTGCTTTGGAGGATGAAATCCCCCTAAAGGGATGAAAATGAAGCCAAATGGATGGAGTTGTCGCTGGGGGGCTGGTGGTGAGAAGTTTGTGGGAATTTTTCTTGTTTGGAGAAGGTTTTCCCCCCTCCACCTTTTTGTCTGGTTTCGGATGTGGGATCTTAATCTATTTACTGCCTGTGGCTTAAGGGTGGTTTGTTGGTCCGCTGTGATGGGATTTGGGTGCTTAAACCCAGATTTGCGCACTCCGATTCCAAGAAGCTTGAGCAAGCCGAGGCCTTTGAATTATTTCATCCCTGCCAATGGGATGGCCCGGGTGGCAAATCCCAAGAATTGCACAGGAAGGTCCTTGACTTAAAACGTTTTGAGAGCCCGAACTGACTGGCTAAAAGCGAGACAGATTCTTTTTTCAGGCGAGGCGTGTCTCTCGTAAAAAGGGGGCCTTCGTTTGTTTGTTTTGCCACACGCGTTTGCCCTGGTGGTTGAAGCGATTTCCCTGCGTGTTGTTAAGTGAAGCACGTGGCCGTTAAAACGAAACGGGCTTCTCCCGGCGACTTTGATTTTTTTTTTTTTTTGAGAAGCGTGGAGGGTCCAGGGGGCTTTTGTGTGACACTCCCTTTCTTGTGGGTGGGTGGGTGGGTGGAAGGCAGGATGGTTGGGGGGAGGGAATGCAAGGGGCTTGTATCTGACAGATGGCACCTGGCTGGAAACACCCCCCCCCCTCGCATTTGCATGCAGGTGGGGGCAACGGCCCTGGAGGCCCAGAAAAGACCCCATTTGAACTGCCGCTTTTGTTGTCTGCACTTTGGAATTGAATTGACCCAGCCAAGCGTGCTGAGGGGAGGGTGGGAGGTTGGCAGAAGCCCCCTCCCCACTTTCTAATGTGCAGGCTCTCAATGGAAGAGGGAAGGGAGCCTCTTAAGGGTGTGACGGGGGGGGGGGGGGGGGCCCATAAGGAGGCCCAGCTCTGGGAGAGCTTGAAGAGGGCCGGAGGGCAGGGGGGGAGGGTAGAGGAAGAAATCCCTTTTTATCCAGTGACGTTGTAACTTTGAATGGTCAGTAAGTGAACTGTCATAAGTCGAGGACTTCCTGCGGTCATTCAGCTCCTTGCTGGAGGGTTTGAAGCAGGTAGGGACAGGACTGCGGTGGGTTTCTTAAAGAGGCCTGCGGAAGATGGAGGCCAGTGGGTCAGAAAAGGGGTCCTTAGGACAGGGGTCTCCAACCTTGGCAGCGCTGGCTGAGGAATTCTGGGAGTTGTAGTCCACAAGTCGTAAAGTTGCATGCGCTGGCTGAGAAATTCTGGGAGTTGTAGTCCACAAGTCGTAAAGTTGCATGCGCTGGCCAAGGAATTCTGGGAGTTGTATTCCACAAGTCGTAAAGTTGCAGGCGCTGGCATGTGGTGGCTGTAGAATTCTGGGAGTTGTAGTCCACAAGTCCTAAAGTTGCATGTGCTGG